TGACTAGACTCGAGGCCACGAAATCATGACCCCGATTTTGCCGAGCGGTCCGATGTAGGATAGAGTTCTCACCGGAGTTCCGTGATGTCACGGGAGAGGCAGCGCAACCACGACCTCTGTTTCCTCTGGATAAGTGGTGGAGCGGAGCTCAGCCGAGCGATGTGACTCGTTTGCTGGGCTGGCGAAAAAAAAGTTTTTTTTAAAAATAGTTTTGCTGTTACTCATTTTCCGGATGCAATGCGGAGTGCCATGCGAGTCACTTGTAATTCTTATCTAGCTCGTTTTTACTATTAATTATCGCAATTCTAAAGTGAAACTATTAGTCAACTGCTAATTTAATTCACGTAAAAAAAACGCTACGTTTTTTCTAATTAATTTACGCATTATTAATCCCCGGATGATTTTCTAGCTGTTTCGCGAGGCAATAGCGCGACAAGAAAAAATGGAAACAATGGGATTTAATCTTTAGCCAACCCTACACGCGTCCCGTTATGCCATTTTGCGCTAGCGATACCGTATCCCAGGCACTGTCAAATTTTATTAGCGTGGCGGGTATGTTTTGTTTCCGCGGCGTTTCCGCGCAAAAAAAACTGTGAGAGGAGCCGTGTCAGTTTTGCTGGCTTCCTCCGAGATCCCATATGACATTAAAGCTCCATCACGTCGCGCGCCGAGGATAAAGTCACATCCATCACATTCGCGCACGGAATAAACGCGTCATTTATCTTTCGATTGAACTTGAAGATTCTCAAGACGAATTATCCAGTCTTTGCGTCATTGCGAAGTCGTACCGCAGCGGCTACGGAATTTAACTCCCAGCATGCTTTCCTAGAGAAGACATCGATATCGAGCAGTGTCACATCTTCAGCCGCGGCGTTTGCGGGTTGATGCTATTCGATGCGGTTGTAACTTCTTTTGTCGGAATACAATAAAGTGCGTGTCACGCGATTAACATCGGAAGTGGCGTACAAGTGTCGCGTGATCGTTGTATTCTTGATATAATTAGATATAATTAATGTCAAAGGCTTATTGGTAAGCCAGCTTCTTCTTAGCAATAAATTTTACTTTTTTCATGTTTTATTTTTCTTTTGAGGCTTCTTGTCTATCACTGTTTCTTATATGTCCTGTGCTGTCGTTTGACTTAGAAGCAATACCGGATGGACCGGCTTGTTGTATCAAATCAGTGTCACCCACTCGGGATGTTACAGGGTAATTAGTTCTTAAATTTTTTATGAATTGTAACTGTATGTTGAAGGTCTTTGTAGCTGATTTTGAAGTGATTGCGTAGCTTGAACTGATGTTGAACTCAGTGAAAGGCGAGCAGTTACTTTAAACATAAACCGATTATATTTATTTGTGTTGCTTGTTACACGTGTGAGCATAGACTCCTGAAGTCAGTGACTGACTGAAATGCGCATGAAGCGAGCGGATGAGAAAATGTGTGAGTGTATTGTTTCAGTGACTGACTGTAATGCGCATGAAGCAAGCGGATGAGAAAATGTGTGAGTGTATTGGAGCAGATTTGGTCTTCAAAAAAGTACGATAGCTTTATTATTTAACTGCAATAGTTTTGTTAATATATTTTTTATAGTGCGCGATGAGCTTAATAATTCTGGACTCAATGAATTATTTACAATGATGGCCATACGTTCCAAGTACCAGACACGGCGGATGCGCGACTACCTGGAGGGTTACTCGTTCATGGTCATCACGGATCACCAATCCCTACGATGGTTAAAAAAATTAGACGCGCCCACCGGCTGGCTCGGACGATGGGCCTTTGAACTCCAGCAATATGACATGGAGATCAAATATAGAAAAGGAGCGCTGAACCGGGTCGCGGATGCGCTGTCGCGCCTAGTAAACGTGGCGGCTGTTACTTCACCGTCATGCCCATAGTACCGCCGAATGTTAAAACGCGTACAGGAAGAACCGCAAACCGTCTCGGACTACGACATACGCGAAGGAAAACTATTCCGGCACATAATACACGACTTAAACTTCAAAGACACACCGGCAGAGGAACAGTGGAAAGAATGCGTACCACGGAAACTACGAACCGAAATTCTACAACAAAATCACGATGACGTAACGGCCGGCCATTTTGGGATTACGCAAACTATCGCCCGCATTGCGCAAAATTATTACTGGCCGGGCATGTTCCGCGAAATCATGACATACGTCAGGAAATGCGAGAACTGCCAAAAATTCAAGGCAAACCAAGCAAAGCCAGCTGGGCTGGCACATGCCATCCCCGTGATCCGCCCTTGGCAGCAGGTAACAATGGATCTGGTAGGCCCCCTACCCCGATCAAAGAAGGGAAACACGTGGTTGCTCAATATACAAGATAGATTCACAAAATGGGTGGAAATGTGCCCCCTGCGCCGCGCCACCGCCCCGGCAGTTACAGACTGCATCGAGAAAAATCTCATTTATCGGCACGGATGCCCAGAAAGTATCCATTCGGATAACGGCACCCAGCTGCGCGCCAAACAATTGACAGAGCTTCTCTCCGCATTCCGCATAAAACACACGTTCACCCCCATACACGCCCCACATTGCAACCCCGTCGAACGAACCAATCGGACGTTAAAGACAATGATCGCACAGTTTGTCGGCAAGAACCACAAAAATTGGGACGAACGAATACCGCAACTACAATTTGCATACAATTCCGCGAAACACGAAGCAACGAAATATATCCTCGCGTTCCTAAACCTCGGACGGAAACTCGCGCCACTCGGCACACCGTACGCAATAACGCGGGCCGCCGCCTCGCCACCTAGCGTCAAGCAAAAACACCTCGAGGAGACTTTTAAACTCGTAAGAATCAACCTCGCGCGCGCGTTTCAGACTCAGCAAAAATATTACAACTTGCGTCGCCGAGCATGGCTACCGCGAATCGGGGAGTGGGTATGGAAACGCGAGTACCCACTCTCCAATAAAACGGCTGCATTTAACGCTAAACTAGCCTCGAAATTCGCGGGCCCTTTCGGAATAAAACAAATCATATCGCCCGTCATCGTAAACCTACGCAACCGCAACGGGCGATGGGCAAGACACATACACGTCCAAGACTTAAAACCCGCACTCATGGAAAACACGGGGGACGAAGACGAGGACACCCCCTCCATAGCCGGTCTTGACAAACAAAACAATGACGCTGACAGTATCCGTACTAAATACGAAGCGTAAACAGGCGACCCCCCCCCCCAAACCCACCAAAAACACACGACAGGGCGAGAGCCACACCGAAACCCATCCGACTCACTCGAGCTACAGACATGGAGCACAGCGAAATCATCGCAGTAATTGACGACCTCCTACAGGAGTACGATCCCGAACACCCGGAGATCGACCCCTGGATCCGGCGACTACACCTGAACCAATCGCCAAATGAGGTAACCAGCTCGCAAATACCGAAACACGAGGACCCCCGCGTACCGGCACAAAAAAACGTGCCGATCGTGGGCTGTATCGTACAACGGTCCGACGCGCAGCAACGGGCGAAGCGAGCCTGGATGACGGAACCACCACCGCCGCCTCCAAAAAGACGACCACCGCCACCACCGGCCCCGGTCGCAGCAGAACGGCCGACGCTGACACCCGCAAGGGTAATGGGGCCCCTACCGCCACCACAGATCCCGGTGCAAGTCGAGCCAGGGCGAATAGTGGAGGTTCCCCATTTCTCCGCCCACGTTTCACAAAAATGGACAGCCTGGAAGGAAGGGAAACGCTGGAGGATTCGGTTCAACGGAGATGGATCCGTTCGAAACATCCGCCGTTTGGATTAGTGCCTCTAAATTCAGGCACTCAGCAAGAGGGGGGTGATATAACAATGCGAGTACAAAATCGACATCGTCATCGCGCTACCCGGCCGCGGCCGGATGCCTGGCAAAAACATCAGCCGGATGCCGCCCCATCAAACACCTGCGGGGCGATGACAGGCGCACTGCGCCCACACTTCTCAAACCGTTATGTAAGCGATCGGTTACCAGCGAGCGCGCGGTCGCAAATAGAACGGTGCGCGCACGCCATTGCCACCCCGGTACACGCGCACCCAAAACCTGGCACCCCGGTCGCCACGGCGGAATGGGGCCAATAGCGATAACACCCTACCGACGCCGGGGGTATAAAAGGCCGGGGACGAGAAGGATCTTTTTTCGCCAGCTTAGCGAGCGAGTCACATCGCTCGACTGAGCTCCGCTCCGCCACTTATCCAGAGGAAACAGAGGTCGTGGTTGCGCTGCCTCTCCCGTGACATCACGGACCTCCGGTGAGAACTCCATCCTACATCGGACCGCTCGGCAAAATCGGGGTCATGATTTCGTTCTAGTCATCTAGACACCGGACACGCAGAGGTTCGACTCCCGTCCTCCGTATCTACGCCGCGAAGAGGGTAGCGATTGCGCTACCACGGCTGGGACACGGCCAGCGTACGAAGCACCCGCTCCGAACCGTGCCGACACCCGCGTGCCGCCCGTCCGACCGCCCCCGCCGACGCGAATACAGGGCCGAGACCCCGCATAATAAATGCGCGTTGTGTAAATAATTGTAAATACGTGTCCGTTCGTGCGTTTATAAACTAATGTAATAGGGCCTCTATTCCAGGGAGAATACCTGATAATCGTTACTATAGAATAAAGGTAAATTACTGCCAGAAATCTCGAGGCACCGTTTTCTTCGATCCCGCGCCTTTCTCTTCCGCACGAACTACGTTTTAGCCCTGGCTCCGACGAGCTAGCCCGAGCGCTAAAACGGACGGTTGTCACATCGGGGTATACTCCTAAAGCTTAGATCGGGGTAGTTTAACAAACCAATCTACGTGGGTATGTGTATCCTCGACATATCTAAGACTTGTTTGTACTAATTTCATCACGACTACATGCAAGCTTCTTTTCAATAAAAGTGTAAAGTAATGTACACCGATACTGATAGTCTTATTTACCATATCGAATGCGACGACGTTTATGAAATCATGAAGCGTGATATTAGGAAATTTGATACGAGCGATTACGCGGTTAATAATGTGTATGGTATTCCGCTCGCTAATAAAAAGGTTCCAGGTCTGATGAAGGATGAAAACACAATCATGACCGAATTCGTCGGGCTTAGAGCAAAGCTGTATGCCTTGCGTGTTGATGGTAAAAAAGATACAAAAAAGGTAAAAGGTGTCAAGAGTAATGTCGTAGCAAAATCGATAATATTTAACAATTACGTGCGATGTCTTCTGGACGAAACTGAAATGACGCGACAGCAATCTTGCATAAGATCAAAGTTGAGATCGGAAGAGCACACG